TTCAGAAGCTCAGATAAATTGCAGTCTTGTCACATGAAACCTTGCAGATTTTGCCTGAAGTGGACATCACTTTGACAGGGCCCTCTCTGTGCCCAAAGGGAGAGTGATGACTGTCTCTCTCTCAGATGATAACCTGACATGAGACCAGATGCAGAAATAAAAAGTGTATTTTAGATGTAAAGCTCACAGAGAAGAAAAATAAGTTGTCTCTTCTTCAGTCGGACAATAAGCATCATTCATTTGGAAAGGTCAATATTAATTAAGAAATCCAGCAGGGATAGTCTGTCACAGGCTTTTTTGTGAATCTGGTTGTTCTCTGTTGCAAATGAAAGATAATCCATACTCAGTCAGAGGTCTGAAAGGTGTCTTGTCTCTGAAATTCCAACCTGCTTTAAACAATTGGTAAATAGAATTAATTTAATTTTAAAAATTCAACATGTTAAGTAGATTATCCTTGATTTGTGTCTTGGCTGCTTCCACGATTCTGAATTTTTTAAATTCAAAGGTAATCTCAAAAAAGGCCAGGAGATAACCCAATTGAGTTACATGCCTGACTGACAGGACAGTGGCATTTATCCCTGGGGAAAGGCTGGCATTTCTTTCAGGCCTGGTTTTCAAAGAAAAATGTGGGAAAATACTCTCCATGTTAAAAACAACCCCCTCATATTTGGGTGGCATCTATGAGTCACAAACCAAACCTGGAATTCACGCTGCACCGCTCCAAAAACTATTTTATATTTTTAAGAGCCTGACTGTCCAACCCATGGGGTTGGGATGCACCAGCTGAGAGGCTTTGCTCCGTTCAGGGACAGTCCAGGGAAGGCGGCTGGGATTGCCCAACACCCACAGATGTTTCCTTGGTCAGGGGAGGAGGGCTCTCAACAGCTCCTGCTCCAGAGGTCAGGAGCTTGAGAAGTCTGTCTGAGGACAGAAAGCACCAACTCATGATGACAGAGGCTAATGCTATATAAGCCCAAAATTTTTGTTTTTAAGATCACTATGGCACACAGAGCAATAAACTTGAAACCGCAGCTCCTCTTTCCTTGAAGTATTTTGCTGTAAAGTTTGCACATGGGTAATGGATAATTAGAAATAGGGAATTAGAAAATAAGGTTTTAATCTACAAATATGTATTAAGAAATGAATACTAAAAAACCCTTAAAGCAACATACAGAATTTAAATAAATTACTACAGCTTCTGAAGTATGCAGTGACTTTAAGATGTTAAGGCTATTACATGAAATATCAATAGGAGTTATACTCTTGAGTGACTTAAATTTCCATATTGCATAACTATACAGTTTATATTTACAATTTAATAATGGTTTTAATAATTCTGATGAACTATTGAAAAAGAGTTTTATTTTCTTTTCTGACTTCACATTTTTAAGCTCTGTTTTCTTCAGTTCACTGATTTTTTTGTATGATTTGTTGAAACAGCCATATGTACCCATCTAGTCTACAAGCTGTTTGGAAGAATGATATTAACTCCATTAACTCCATCATGAGGATCTCTGAACATAGTATTAGCAATAAAAATAAAAAAAACTAATTAGCAACTATTTGTTAATTGAACAAATGCTACTGTAAGTATATTTTTAGTCAGAATGATCTTACTGCAACAGTATCTCTATGATTGTCTTCCTTGTCACCTAAACCCCTTGCATAAAAATTTATGGAATTTGAGGTGGGGTTTAATTCTTTTATTTCTTCAACGCTCCCAGCTGACTGCTCTAACAATGGTACTTTTGCTGCTGTCACAGATTTCCACATACTGCCTTTTTTCTACACTGCACTGCCATGCATGTTGCCTGATGACATCTCAAAGGCAATCTTTGGGTGCTTTGGCAAGTACACTATTTAGGTAAAAGGCTCCATGTTATTTAAATTAACTCCCTATTTGTTGCTGCTCGAGTCTGACTTTCATAAATGTTTTTAATCTTTACCTAGAACACCTGCTCTTCTAATATTCTAAACAAAGAGGGATGTTCATCTCTTTGGCACCTCCTCTCCAGAACATTTTTGATGGCCTCCTCTCCCACTATTCGCAAAATCTGATAATTTGTAACATGGAACAGCATTATGTATGTTCCTGTTCTACAGTTACAGAGTGGTCTTTCCCTGATACACATTTGCAATGGCTACATAAGATTTTCTTGCGATCCTCACTCAGCACTGCACAATCTGTTACAGAGCTGTGATAAGAAGCAGCTTCAGGTAGTCTATCAGAGACACAACACATTTTATCACACCTTATCAGTATCTCAATGACCATTTAAAATTCAGCTACTGCCCTGATATTCTTTCAATGCCTTATAAATAGATTTGGTGGTCTGAAACAATTTTTCTAAGGGACAGATATCCCCATCACACAAATTGGCAGCTTGCTATTAAATCTCAGCATAGGCATCCAGGATGAGTACATATGGAAGCAGTCTCATCTTGTCCATGTCAAAGCCATGAGGATTTAAAAGGGAAACCTTGTAGTGCTGCTGTCACTAATGCCAAAAAGAAACATTCTGTCACTAAGCTTAGAAAATCAGAAATCTTCAAGACATTATAATTTATTAACATCCTATGTTGGCTGGCTTACACTGTAATTTATTTTTACAGTATGGCACAGTAATTATTCATGGCACTCCCTAAATCTGTACAAATGGAAGGGCTCTTTCCTCCAATGGACTTTATGACAGCTACAGAGATTTGAATAAATATGGGGAAAAGGAGTAAATGCAAAAGTTCACAACGTATGCTCATGATCCTGGAATTTTTGTTAATTTTTACATTGTATCTTTCATCCTAAAAATATGTACATCCATTACAGTCTTGGAACAGCATCTGAAATATAGCATGCAGTGATACCAGACTGTGCTGAGAAAGCAGGGGTGCATGGTACAACTCCAAGCTGGAGGGCTCACAGCCACTGCAGCTGTGGTGTTTTGCTTGAAAGGTGAAGTCAGCTATGGGGAAAGACTGAAAGCCAAGGCAGGCTAGGAGAGCAGGGTACTGATCATGAATATGCACCAGTTGTAAATTTAGCAACTCTAAAGGGGAATCAGTTGCACAATCAAGGTACCAGAGAGACAATCATGCAAATGACTTGATTTTGCAGACTGGTTTTTGAAATATCCTTTTAGGCTGCCATAGGCTGTATATAATTCACTTTGCTTGTCTCAGAGCTATACTGAAACCACTCCAATCAGCAGTACATGGGCCTACTCCTTTTAACACTTTGGAAGTTCTACATTGCTGTATCAATTTTGTACTGTACACACTCAGATTCTCAATGAGCTTGACTTGACTTCAGTACAGCAATGCTACATTAAATGGCTATTTTCTAAGTCATAGATCTGGAAAATGGGGTTTAATCAATGACCATTAGACCTTGCACTCCCTACTGGCATAAAATGCCTTCTTCTTTCATCCAGTGTTGCTGTATTGTGGCTTTAATAAGTTCTGACTGGCATTTGCCATTGAGTTACAGGGGCATGGAGGCCTTATTAGCAGGAAGAAATGGAAGTATTACAGAACAAAACAATTAAGTGGGACAGGATAACTCACAGCATTGTGTCAGGCTGTGTCATGCTTACATTTCACTACATGGTATGGAATTCCCCCTACAAATACAAGGAGATACAGCTAACAAGGTAAAACACTTCTCTGCTTGGGAAATTATCCTCAAAGTTTATTTTTTATAATTGGACAACACATCCCAAGAAGTTCTGAGCATGTGCATTTTTCCATGTAGTCAAAAGGTGTAGTCATATGCTTTTTATTAAATTCACTTTCATTTTAAAAATAGCATATGTATGAAATCTGTGCACCACTTATGTTTCATTTAAATCTTCACATGTTTCTTCCTCTCCTCTTGCCCCTACTAATAAGATCTGCCCGTCTCAAACAGGTTTAAGTAGCCACTGAATGGCATAAAATCTCTTATGCGCTCTGGTACTAAAAGAATTTCTCTTGAATTTCCTTCCAATGTTTCAGCATCACAAAAGAAACTGATGACCAAATTCTGTGAGATGGATGTGTCCTGGAAGAGCCCTTGTCTTGAAGGTGACTAAAGCAAAGCCACCACAATTCATTCATGAGGTTCTCAGCTCCTCAGCAACCATCCATCCACATGATGCCTTTGTCTGGGCGCTGTCAGACTCAGGAGATTAGGAACAAGCAGGTGGTTTGCACAAGGCAAAGTGCCCAGGCTTGCCAGATTACTGGTGGGAAGAACCACAGTCTGTCTTCTCTAGACCATAAAGAGCTCATAGTAAGACAATATAAACATGCATTTTTCTTCAACTTTTACTTTGAGAACAAAGTCACGTATTTTAAAAGTGTACATCCTTCTTCTTATGTACATTTCAGATATGAACTATCATGATTTGGTGGTTCATCTCAAAATTTCACAGGCTATATAAAATCATGTAGGACTGATGACAACTTCTATAACAACACAATTTTTGTTTCTTTCCCTCCTCCTCCCTCAAATACTTATTGCATTTCCTCTGAGCCTGTTCATACATAATATTGGAAAAATACATATAGAGAATGCTGGACTACATTTTTAGAATGGATACTGAGATTTCCTAATCCAGAAAATGGATTCAAAATTTGAAGACAGTCTGACAATCAAAATTTACTTGCTGCAGCATTCAGAACAGTACTTGTGTATTCAAATCAGCATGCTCATCTACTTAAACACTCCCTCATCCTCGTTTTTTGGGATTTAGGATTTGTTAGGAATCCTCTCTCTTTCGCTAGAGCTCTGGTTCTTCACTAATCTCTGCAATAAGAGCTGTAAGGTAATCAGTTACAGACATGTCTGTTACCAGGTTCACAGCTAATACTTGCACAAGTGAAAAAAATTCTTCTTTGCTGTTTTCTTTTCAAATCTGCCTGCAAGTGAGAAACTAATGCACTGGGGTATGCACCCTTCTACATGCTGTATGTGAATAGTAAGAGTTTAATGATGTCTGGGGCTCAGTGGAGCAAGGACTTACGCTTGGAATGTTTGTCACAGAGAGCCGATGCCCTCATGTCGCAGAGTCTCAGGGATCCTTTGCTGCTGCTGTAGACAAAGAGATTGCAGTGGTGGGGATGGAACTCAGAGGCTGTAATCACTTCCGTCAGATCCTCCATATTGGCTGGCTTTATATCTACAATGTCTGAATGGAAGCTTCATCAAGGAAAACGCAGTTGTCTGCAGGTAAACCACGACTCTTACTTGAAGGAAGCATGCAAATGTACACACATGTAATGCTTTTAAAGATACACTCATTTGTTTGGTAGTAGTACAGTTTTAAATTTCCATACCTGGCCCACTTATACCAAACCCAAAGAGCAATGTAAAACTCGAAGTCTGCACAGTTTTACTGCAGATGCCATTAGCAGGTCACCATTTATCGGTGCTGCGCAAAGACATCGAAGAAACATTGTTGCAGGGACAAAGAATTCTCACTTCAATTCTTCAATGAAACTAATAGAGAGCAGGTAGCTATATCTCCTGCACTTGCTACTGAAACCACTGCTCCATCCCAGATAATGATGACTGAGAGAGAACAATGCACAGCTCAGATCTGCTCACTCCTCTAAGGATCACTGGCTTTTATGATTATGCAACGTAAGCTAAAAAATACATGTAGCTTACTGCAAAAGACTTTTTTTTAAAAAAAAAAAAATGCAAAGGCGCATGTGGCAAACACAGAAGTATTTATGCAAATAATTTTGGGTAATAATTTACAATTGTAAATTACAAATAATTTACAATTTCCTTTAAAAAAATTACACACAGTATTATGTTTGCTATTTGAATATTCACAAAGAAGTATCTGAAATGGCATTCTTGGGTTCTTATATAAATGACACCTGCTATCAAAATCATTATGAATTTCTATGACTGCGAATCACACACCTGAATCATTTAAGTGAACATCAATCACCTGGAACGAAAATACATCAAATATCTAGTTTCCCCAAGCACAAACCTGTCAGCTGGATCACCGAAGACTACCCACATGACCATGGTGCTTCCCCAACACTTAAATCTCCACTCGTACATATTACTGGCCTTAAAACCCAGGACCCACACTGAGCCCATGTTTGGAGAAGGTCAGTCTGTGAAAGATTGCTTATAGAGAAAAGAATGAAAGCAAGAGTCTCATGAGGAGGCTGGAAGAAAGTAGATACACAAGCATAAAATGAAAGAAGGATACATATGTAAAGCAGTACTTTTAAATAAGATTGTGCATTTTCACATGGCCCTCAGCAATCTGCCACAGATAAGCCATCCAAATGTTAACAAATCCTTCGAACAAGAAGAGTAACATCACCCTATTTTACTAATGAGTTTGTGCAAGAAGCAATAAAGGATTTGCATAAGATCACATGAGAAATGCATGACAGAACAAACCCAGATCTGAGTTCCAATGCAGTTCCCTAAACACAAATCATCTCAGTGCCCAGATTCCCTGAACATAAAATTTGAATCAGCTGACGTTCAAAATTTAAACATCTCAAAGGATAAGATAAATGAGAAAATCTGTTTTATTGATGGTGAGAGAAATCATATATCATGGCACTAATCCTGTTTCTGTTCCCACTGTGAGCACTTCCCAAATGGAAGACCAATCAAAAACCTTTGATTGATTTCTGTGGGAATACATTACATTCTATCACCATCTTTACACTCCATACTTTGATCTTTCCCAAAAATATAGGTCTGCAGTGAAATAGTACAAGAGATTCAGAGATAATTATCTTGATGACTGTGCATACATCACCCTGTTGTGGTTTTGGCTTTTTTTTGTTTTTTCCCCATGTGGTTTACAAAGGAAAATATCAGTAAAACTATTAATATCTTGTGACATTTAATAACAACTGGGAATGAATTAATGTTGCATTTTAACTGCATTCCTACTTACTTGCACTATCACATTTGCATCCATCTCTAAAAATTCATCATGACTAATAAAAGTGCAGTAAATGTTAAGATGCAGAAACATTGATTTACCTCTTCTATAAAGCATCACTAAATAATCCTGAAAATCAACAGAAAAAAATAACCTTTATTCAGGTATGTGTATTTGGTGAATTTGTCTCAAGAAACACCTTTAAGTAAAAGTAATTGCTTTCAGGAATTGAATTGCTTTGTGGAGTTCAGAGAAATTATGGTTACTCAACAGAAGAATTTCACCTCTCAGCAGAGAGATGAATAATTTCTGAGTGATTAGAAAGATATAAAATATAAATGGAGTATATGAAACAGTCATGGTAAGTATAATTTTTCTGGATGCTGAAGACACTATTGATGAATTTCTTTTCATTGTGTAAAATAAATAAATATATGTCGAATAATGAAATTAAACATTCCATCCTCCTGCCAGAAAAGCAGTATTTAAATACTTATTTAATATTATTTAAATACTTTAAACATACTGCATTTCCAGACACAATCTAAATCTCCTCTGAGAAAGAACCTCATTTGCCTACTGAGGATCATAGCAAAAATGAAAATTCATCATTTCACTAGATTTAGAAAAATTAAAACAGTAACACTCTATTGAAGTAAACAACCAAGGGACTAGAGAGTTGCAGATGAGATTTACCCCAAATGCATTTGTAATAATAGATGGAAAAACAGCCTTTGTTTTGACAGCTACAGAACCCAATATATCAAAAGAAGAATATGTCACACAAAAGAACATTTTCCTCCTCTCATGATTTTTGCCATCTATTTGAAAACAATCAAGTACAGCTTGACATGTGATGTGTGGGAACTGTATTTAAACTAGCATGACATGGTAAGGGCAAGCATCTCCCATGAGACATTTCTCATTTCTATTTTTCTGTCTTCCCTTTGTGTCTTTTCTTCCTCTTAAGCACAGCATCGCATGTCAGGAAAAAATAATAAAATTAAAAAAACCTGGACCAGACAGTGTGCTTTAGAAACAGGGCCTTTGGTGAACTTGAAAAGCACAAAATGTAGGGAATCTGGCAGAAACTGATTAAATGAAAATTCCACTGCTACAGAGAAGACTATGGTAATAGCACAAATCTGTAGTTGTCTCCTACTCTACAGACAGAAGGAACAGAGAGTTCAGTTCACCACTGTCAGTGTACTAGGATATAATTCTACTGTCCTAAAAAAAGTCAGTGTTTCTATGCCTTAACAGGGTAGAAATTTCCCCTAAGAAAATGAAACATTTGACACCCACACATGCTTGATAAGAACAAGGCATTTTGATCCCTGGCAGACAGCTGCACTAAGGGAAGGCTGAACTTCCACCTTGCCAGGGATGGGCTGGAATACATTGGCAGTCCTTTAATTCATTAACATTAAAACAAGAAATAGAAAATATCTTCTTGCTTGCAAAAGACAGAACAGGCCCTTCCCTGTTAACTATTTGATGTCTTACATACTAGACCTGGCCTCCACTACTTGGCTCCATGGAACAGGATAAAGCTATGAAGAGGCCAGCAGACTTTACAGATTCTCTTCACAGCAAAATGGAAATAAAAAGGTTGAGTAAACTTGGAAACTACAATGGTGAGAGATGATGTTCTCTTAGTTGGGTTAGTAGAGTTACAAGACCAGGAAGGGCAATTTTGGGAAAGGCAACAAAGCTACTCCAAGGCAACGGAACCTTAACTTTGGCTGAGCATCTACATTGCCTTCCCCAAACTATTCAAGAACAGAAGTATAACAAAGGAGAGTGAGCAGGGCAGGGCCTGGCTGTGAGGAGGCTTTAGGGAAAGATCTGAGGGGGGGAGGGGGAGAGAAGGAAAATTCTAAGAGAGGAAAGAGGAAAGAACATAAGGAAAGGCATGATTAACAACCTGCAATGATATGCAGTGTGAGGAATGTGATCTGAGTACACGATTCAGTTATATGGTATGTTTAGTTCTAATCCAGTATTATGTGCTGCTGTTGTGCAGCTGATAGCAAAATGAGGATAACAGGAGGAAGGAAATTTGTTCCACTGCCTCTGGGCCACTGATCTAACAGAAATATACCCCTCTGGGAGAAGTCACTCCAGAAAGTTCCCTTTATTGCAGGTTACAAAGTTGACCCTCACCTTGATCCAAAATTCATATTAATCATACTTCTCCTCTTGATCAGCTAGAATATAAATGAGCATGACTGTTTTATGCTCATGCCAAAACATGTATAATGAGAAAGTGGAAAATACATAGGGTTCCTGCTGAGCAAAAAACGTCCCAGAATAAGTTTCCTTATATGATAATGGAAATATAGCAGCCTCCTCAAAACAGATTAAATTCCCTTTGAAGTGAACAGTATGCATAAAGAAATAGCTGCTTCATTTTCCTGAAACCATCAAGGAATTCTACAAGAAAGTGAATTTTGTAGAGAACAAATTTGTAGCTCACAAGCTATGGCATACAAATGATAGAATCTTCTATCATTATTTTGGAACAATTTTTAAATGACTTGTGGGTCCACTGAAAGAAGGAAATAAATAGTTTTTATGGTCAGAAGAAGGCTCGATAAAAAAAAAATTACTTGCCCCTCTCCCCACTTTATTCAACTGCAGTGGAGAAGAAGAAGCTTTCTTTAGAATGCCAGACAAAATTTTCCACAGGAACTTCACAAGAAAAACAAAACTCTCATCTTTCGTATCTCAATATATGCTGATATAACACTTCATTTTTATCTCTGCGTGGGACTTAAGTTTTTGCAAATTTAAGCACTTTCAAAAAATAACCTTCAGCCTAACATATCTTTCCAAACCTGGCTGTTCCCTGTGTTTTCCACAGAGGTTTGTTCTGGTTACTAATTTTGTCTGCATCTCACACCTACATTTCAGCCTAGCCCTAGAACGATTCACTGACTAGGAGTTGAAATCAATAGCAATTCATGGAAGCTGCCAGGGCTTCAGTTTAGAGTAATTGATTACTGTGGTCCTGCTGAGGCTCTACACTTTTAATATACGCATTTCTCTGAGTGGTTTCCCCTGTTAGTCATTTAGTGCACACTATTTTCATTACAAGGAGGGAACTGCGATGCCTACAAATCAAGCTCTACCAGTTTTACACTTCCTACATGATGGTTATATCATTCCTACACCACGTGACAGTTAAGAAAATGAATTCCAAATGGCTCCAGTTTTCTTCCACGTTGGGTACATAAGGCCTCAGTGTGCTTGAC